GGGTGGGGTAGGGGCGGGTGGCTTTAGCGCCCGTGCTGAAGGAGACACGGAAATCCTTGGAAAGCGAAGCATTAATGACTGGGTCAGACAGAGCCATGTGCAGCTGTGCCACTCTGCAGGTGAAAGCTGGGCTTTGTCCAGCAGCTTGAAATGAAAGCCCCAAAGGCTGGGTACTTAGAGGGGGTTGGGGTTTTGTTTGGGGGGATTATTTTAAATAACAGTCATCGTATTTGTGCAATTTTAAAATTAAGTCTGACAGGTTAGAATCTGACCAGAACTGAAGAAACCTTGTTAAAGGGTCTCGGAATCATAAGCAAATTTTTTCTGTCAGCTTGAAAATGAGCTGAATACTAACTCAGTGTCAGCAAATCAGATCATGTGTATGTTTGTATACACCGATCTTCCCTGAATGAATTATTGCCATGCCACAGAAGAAACAGAAGTTAATGTGTAGTCCTGTGTCCTCTTTCCTCCACACACCCACTTTATACCTCAAATGCTATTTGACTTTCTGTAGGTAAGTTCAAAGTGCAGCGTACTTAGTAGTTGATGAAAAATGAAGTTACTATTTCACTACTTTATTTTTCAAAAATAGTTACACTTTCGGTTCTGTAGAGGGAAGCTTAGTGGTATTTCACGTATGAATAGTGCAGTGTGTCAGATAACAAAAGGCTTAAGCTCTAGTTTGGGCAAACATAAATACTTAATTTAACTTCAGGTATATACCTGCTGTCTAATCTTGAAAAGCTTCATCTCTCTGTGGTCTGTTGCCTGATAAGTAAAATGAGGAGGATGTATTTGCATTTGAGAATCGAGGAGGAAAAAAAAAAGTTAAAAAATTAAGAAATCAAATTAATCAGTTGTAGTTACCTTTGTAGAAATCCCTAGCATCTTATATTTTCCAAAGAGATTTTGATGTTTCTTCGAAATGCTCAACTACTTACTATATGAACACAGGAAAAAATTGGCTTGCAATTTTCTAGCAATCGTTAGAATGGAAAAGACGAATAAGCGCAGAAGAGTATATTTTGTGCTTTAAACAATCAAAAATTCTAGAACAGTGATCATTCTCATTAGGAAGAAGTTCTTCATATGTCATTTTAACATTCAGAACTTTGGTCTTCGGTAGTTACCTGCATCTAAGTACTGAAGTTAATAGCTGAAGTAGCACTTAATTTTGTTTATGGTAGGAGCTGGAGTCTTACAAGCTATACTCTATAAAGTAGTTAATTATTCATCACTCAGTGTAAAAACTGTTTGCAGCAATACTCTTACTTTTAAGAGGCATATGAAAATATTTTTTAAAAAATTTTCAGATGTTGGACCTAATTTTTAAAAGCACCCCAGAAAACCAAATCTAGGTTTTATCAGTCCTGTCAGCCACCAAGTACCAGATTCCCAGTATATCTGCTGAGCAGGCAGGTGTTGTTTTATCTATTCCTCGACTAAACTGACTTGAGACTCTTGTGCAAAAAGTGGAGTTAAATCCTGACTCTGAATCCGTGTGCTTGTTAGGAGCTTCTGTTAGTGGAAGGCAATTCTTTTTTTAATAGTGATCATGCCAATCTTCTTGAGCCTATATCCTGTACCATAAAGTACACTACTATAAAAAGGCTGCCTCTTACCTTTTAAAGTGGCTGGTGACATGCTTTCATTCATGTTCTTGTAACACATTCAGTGATTTGGGTATGTACTGCCAGTCTCTGGACTGGCCTAGTCTGAATTTCACAGACCTCTGTCTCCGTGTTCTCTTACTTCTCGCTTCTGGTGGGTGTTGGGGAAGGAGGGAGGAAGTGCTAGCAAAGTTATCCCTCCTCTGTCTAGGCCCTTCTGCACACTTCCACTCCTGCATCCTTCCGGAGGAGGCTGAGATACTTTGCTGCAGCCCTCCCATCAAAAAAGCATCCAGGGGCTGCCCTGACCCGCTGTCTGGTTGACCTCTGTGCTGGGCCGTCCCTGCCCGAGGGGTTGCTTTGCCTTCCTGCAGACCAGCGTTTTGCAGGCTGACCATATGGCTGGTTTGCCCTTCCTTACAGCATTCCCCAAGGTGCAGGTGCTTTGGGTAGTCTGAGGTGGCGTTACGGGAAGTGGCGTGGTGGGTTCACGTAAGAGTTACCGTGCCCAGAGGTATCACCCTTGTCAGTCTCTGTACGTGATAGGAAGAAGAGTTAGTTTCTAAGCTTCACAACTCATTAATGTTTGTCGGAGCAAAGGTGACCTTTAGCTGTGGGACCACGCTTTGCTCTTGGATAATGTCTGAATCAATTTGTTCAGATGCTGTTAACATCTAAGTTCTTTGCGTTGACATTCTACGTTTCATTGTGTTGGGCCCTTTGTCTTCGACCATGGTTAAATGGAAGGATGCTGCCTGTTTATGTTGCTTAAGACATCTGAAGATTGTAAATTTTAAATTTTATTTTATTGCAATGAACACCTTGTCAACGGACTCTATTGTTAGCTTTTATTTTTAATGGTAGTTATCAGGAGGGGAATGGCCACAGGGTTAAAGAGCTGCGCCACGTGGTGAACCAGCTCTTTGTTGCCCAGGAGCATCTCCTCTGTGGGTTGTAGTTCTGAGGCTGAAATTCTGTAGTAGTGTATCTGTATTTTACAGATATTCTGTGCTG